TAAGGAGAAACTTCCTGACAGTTAGAACAATTAACCAGTGGAACAACCTGCCTCCAGAAGTGGTGAATGCTCCAACACTGGAAGTTTTTAAGAAGAGACTGGACAGCCATTTGTCTGAAATGGTATAGGGTTTCCTGCCTGAGCAGGGGGTTGGACTAGATGACCTCCAAGGTCCCTTCCAACTTTATTATTATTATTACAGGGGTAGGCAACCTTGGCTCTTTTATGACTCATGGACTTCAACTCCCAGAATTCCTGAATCAGCATAGGAGTTGAAGTCCATGAGTCATAAAAGAGCCGAGGTTGCCTACCCCTGGTCCAAGAGCTTACCTTGGATGTTAGACCAGAAATACAACTCTACTTGAATAGATGGAGCTGTGCCTTCTGATAAATACTTTATTTTGTACAAGTCACCTATCTAAATTAGCTTTGTATGAATTGAAAGAAGTAAAGCTAAAGCGTATTTTAAGATAAAGGGCAGGGTACTTAGGTAGTCTTTAAAAACCACAATAAGCCCTGCCAGGAAGCTTGTTGCAAGTTGAATTTTCCTGTCATATTTCCATGTATTTTAGATTCTCAGAACAGTAATGGACAGATCAAGAGTAACGGCACCACCTTGTGAAGTAACATTGTGTTTGCAAGAGACGTTTTCTGGATGCAGATGGGCCAGTGTGCTATAAACCAGTCTCTATTGTTTAGAAAGACCAGAAACCAGTTTAATAGAAAAAAGGCTTTTCAAGCACTTGTATTATGAAATTAGACATGAAATCTAAATTAGAATGCCTGAAGACATTAACTGGTATTTGTTATTTCCTTGCAAACATGGTAAATTAGCCAACACGGATTAAGGAAAACATTAACAAGCTCTTAGGAATGGGATTTCTTCCAACAGATCTCTCTCTGGCATAATATAAAAACTCCTGTTGGGAGATTCCTTGGCAAAAATACCTGAAAGGAATCAAGCACTCCATGCAAATGGAATTTTTGGGGAACAAACGAACAGGCTTGACGAAACCAGCTTCCTATCTTTATGCACCTGTTGTAATACACTCTTGTACACTTCTTCATATCTCAGTTTAAATTTTTGCCTGGTTCTTTTTCCTGATTTTCCATTATATTAACAAATTGTAAACTCTTCATCTTCAATGTATTGCATCAGGACTCAGTCAATGTTACAGGCAAAAAGATTCAATCTTGTCTAATTTCTCTGCCTCAAATTATATTGCACTACCTTCTAATCTTGACCATTAGCAACATACACATTTATTTTTTGATGAATGCTTAAGTCAAGGATTAATTTCAGACAAGATATTATGAAATAATATTTTCAGTACCAGTTCAGTTCTATATTATATATGCGCTAAAGAGAATTTTTAAAAAATCAGAAGAATTCTAGGATGGAAGGTGGACTTACCAACTACTATTGTTTCTCCAACTGAAGATAATTATGGAAAACCGTTAATGAAGCCATGCTATGTTTCATGAAGCTAATTAGTACATAGTACCTACATTTGATTTGAGATATTTTCCAGAAGATATTTTCTGAGAATAAAATGTTTATCTTCTCACGCTCCCTAGAAATACAAGGTGTTCTCTTAGAATTTTCTCCAGGAGAAGTGGCAGAGGAACATCACACAGGAATAATTGGATGCACAT